AGTAGGTATATTCAGAGTCAAATAGTTCGTGACACCCAAAATGGCCAAATATTTTACAGCATAACTTTATTCCAAATAACATAGACGTGTTGCGAACTTTTTGGCTACTTTGGGTGTCAAAAAGTGCCTAGTTGACGCTGACTGTACATGATTCCCTTAGTTTGATAGCCTCATGTCAGTTTTCACTCCCTAATTTTTAAGTGACCCCTATGGTAACACATAACAGGCAATTTTTACCCGACTGCGCCAGAAGGAGGGTTATGTTTTCATAGGGGTCGCTTAAAAATTTGGAATTGATCGCGATCGAACGTCGAGTCTTTCGTCATCGTAGTGCGCACTCGCTAAAATAATGTTTTGTATAATATTTGAAAGTGTTGTGAATGCTTATACTAAAACGTTTGTTTTTATTTGTATAGAGAACAATAGCGTCTAGACAAACCTAAAGAGGATTTAGGACGCTATTTGGATCAAATATGTAATTGCTCAATAATGAATAATAAATAAATAAATAAATAATTGATGGTGAAAACGGGCATTAAACTGGCTGCCTAGCAAAAATTTCTAAGGATTTAATTATTAATAAAATAATCCCCGTAAGTATAAAGTAGGTAACTAACAAGCTATCACAATGGGCCCTTTTACATTGTTTTGTTTTTTCTATGTTTCCTACGGATTTGACGCAACAATAAAATATTGTTGTATGAAAGACATGCATCGCTCTGTGAGAATTTACAGTTATTTTTTTAAAATAAAACCCTGCAAGGATTGGTGAATGTAAGCTAAATTGAAGTTTTCCTAAGGATTTTTCCTCCTGTCCCTTTTTATTAGGTACTTAAAATTATGAAAGAGGTAGATACAGAGTTTATCGTCTTTCATATCGTTTATTAAAGTCGTTTTGCAATTTTCTTATGTTATTTTCAAACAATGATTAAAACATTCAACCTACCACAACGTTCATTTGAATCCAAATTTGGGTGTCATTTTATAATACAAGTCTCAGATGCAAATCAAAGAACAAAATCACCTTTTCCAGTCTTTACCTAAAGATTTTTGCCCAAATAAAAAAAAAGCTTGCAAACAGCACACCAGCATTATTTTGATACAAAATAGGATCTTATTTCAACTACTCAAGATGCTTGTTTACTTGTGCTTTAGATACTTATTAACGGACGGAATGTACTCGTAAGTAGCATCTAAAATCTAGACCTAGTTAAGTACGCGATTGGCCTGGATTCCAGCTACCGACTACGGATGCGCTACGTACATTAGGTATGATCGAGATACTGTTAACAATACCTCGTAGCTCACCAAAAATTACGCTAAAATCAACCTTCTTCCTCGAACTTAAGGAGCGAAAACTGACAATTGTTTATAGTAAGAACTACCTTTATAGTAATGCTACGCGAATGTGGACTTTGAGGCATTAGAATAGGGTGTATGAAGGTAGTTAGAGTGCCACAGGGGGCCGGTTAATCACAGAATGATGGAGCACCTGTGAATGAGTTATGATGAGGTAGTACGAGTAGTAATAGAGATGTACTACGTTAGCAATGCGGTGTACTATAGTATTCATATTATTTGCTAATGACTTATTCTTGCATGACACCGTCTGAGTTTTTTCTTCTTTGCCTGGCCCATTCCTATTTTATTTGGGGTCGGACACGGTCATGACACCGTCTGGGTTTGAAAATAACAAATAGATGTAACTTTTTTTATAATCTGAACCCATGTTTTTATTACCTTTTGCCTCCTGGTTTAGAGGTGTTGACAAGCTTTATATGGAAGTGAAATCACTCGTATTATTTGTCGGACAAAAGTTGAGAATCACTCCTTAACTAACAATAAACTGAATTTGAAACTAAAAGCACAGGTTCACATTTTTATTAATTCGTGATTTTAGAGGTCAATCTAATTAACTGCACTATTCATGAAATAATATTCATAATTATTTTATGAGTCTTATGTTAATCATATTATTATAATAATCTGCAGATGTCTCTTAAGTTAATATGCCAATATCGAAAGGCAATAGAAACATAAATAAACGCAGTTCAAATGTTAAATGCACTGACATATAGTAACTTATAACCAGTGTAATATAGCATTATCGATAGAATGACGTTTATAATCTTTATGAATAATCTTTAGTACATAATAATATTATTTATCATACCTAGTTTTAAGCAATAAACAATTGAATTGAATACCTTAAATTATGTGTGACCCCTAAGTCTAATTTAACTAAACCTAGTAAACCTATAAAATTATTTTAGGATGCATTCAATTTGTTATTTAATTATTCGATACATCATAAAAACACATTCGTAACCTTGCGATGCGTCAAAAATTTACGAAATCCCAACTCGCGAGTATTCGCACTTGACCGGTTTCATTTAATTAAACAACTTCACCCTAATCCCTGCTCGCGAGTATACCTCGAACTTGACCGGTTACAATTAAACAACCTAGGTATAACATAAATACCTAACCGAAGAAGTTTCCAAAGGTAGAAATCGAAAGCGACGCGCGCGCCTGACTGGCTTGGGGCCTAAAGGTCAAGGGACAAGGCAGGCTTCGGTGGCTGTGCCATCGATCTTAGGTCGTATAGGAATTTGCTTGAGTTTGCTCATTCACTGATGACTCTACCAATCGCCCTTAAATATTTTGTGCCAATGTTAAGTCGCTTCTAAGGGAGCTTGAAACCGTAAGTTTTCAAATATTGATTAAACAACTGTGTTAAGTGTATATCGTTCGTTCGTTCGTTCGTTTCAGCCGAAAGACGTCCACTGCTGGACAAAGGCCTCCCCCAAGGATTTCCACAAAGACAGGTCCTGTGCCGCTCGCATCCAGGCACCTCCCGCGACCTTCACCAGTTCGTCGGTCCACCTAGTGGGAGGCCTGTCACGCTACGTCTTCCGGCTCGTGGTCGCCACTCAAGAACTTCCCTGCCCCAGTGGCCATCAGCTCTACGAGATAGGTAGCTAAGTGCATTTAGGACATGTTATCTATTCGTATGTACCCAGTATAGGCCACAGTTGCCTAGTTGGGGTGAACTCTTCCTGTGCTCTTTCTTTGAACGTTTACGTCGCCCTGACCTTGGATCTTCGTGAAGTATAGGACACCATTTCAATTCAATTTTGGTAATAAGAAATTCTGATGAAATTACAATACTTTCGTGAATGAAGCTTATTAAGCTTTAGAGAATAATAGCAATTAAAAATACAAGAGCAGATTTTGTCTCTACATTTTTCTGATGTCTGATGATCATTTGAGCCCATTTTCACATGATTACGAAATAACTGCCGAAACTAATTTTAAAACCATACAACTATATCTAATGCAGTTTTAATGCAAGTGTTGTTTATTTCGCAAAACCCTTTTAGTGTGTATGTGCTCAACTATTTAGTATTCATGGTGCACGAGCTATTGGCATGAATATGATACGTAAAGTTCAACATCATGCCGAGTTCATACATTGATTACATTTGCACCAAGATACGCGTACTCATATTGGAGCCAACACGCCGATGTGTGTATCGGTTTATGACAAACATTGGAGACAAATATTATATGACCTAAGTACCCAACCCTCTAGAAGCTTAGGCCAATAGTGTATTTTTTGACCTGCCTAGACCACTTTTTGATGAAATCGAAAATCTAATCCGTCAAAACTCCATACAAAAAAGGCTTTTCGACCTTTTTTCGACTGGTTTGAAAATTATAATGTACACTTTGCACTAGACCTTTTGGAAATTAAGATCGCTTTGGGGTGATGGGGAAATGCTAGTGTGAATAGTGTTGCGGCCAATATTTGTTACAAACTTTAATATTATCTATGGAAGCCAAATTTAAACCTAAAACATAATCCAAAGTGTGAACGAGGCTTTAGAAGGAAAACGCATCAAGAGGCTGCAGTCTTATTGCACTCGACAGAAGACCTTATTTCCAATCGATTATTTAGTTTCCAAGAAGATTGACAACTTATCTTATTGCCTCGTGTTAGGGCTTATTTTAGGTTAAGGTTTCCAAGCAATTTATTCAAAGTTCGAACAAAAGATATTAAAGTTCGATGCCATTAGAGGACGTTCCAATATTTTGCATACATTCAAATGTAAGATGCAATCGTTATTTCTAGATATTGAATATAAATACTCATTAATGTAAATATAAATGTATTTATTATTTATCGTAATCTTTATACGATAATTAATTAAACTGTTTAACCAAGCTTTTAGAGATTGTTTAGAAGCTTTAGGCCCGATTCGACCAAACTTTTATCCGAGAATAACTTCTGATATAACTGGTACATTGACAGTTTCAGTTTGGGAATTTTGTCTAAACTGACAATTTATTCTGCGATTAATATTTTCTCTTGTTTGGTCGAACCCACCCTTAATTTAAAAACTATTATTTATTAAGGGTGGATTCAACCAAACAAGTTAAAAAATATTTTTTAATAAAAAAACTAAATGTAAAAAGAATTTTTATATGTAAAAAAATGAACTCTAAAGGTTAAAAATGAATCAAATGATCGTAGTACTACGGTGACCCACAAGCTTAGTTCTCAGCGCGCTTCCCACGCATTGTCGTTGATGTCTTTTTGATGCGCCCGCGCAGTTTGCGGTTAAATTGGACTGCTATGGGTGTACAATTTTGTTTTACACTTAATTTAGGACTTTAAAATGTCTTACAGAATTTATGACTTAAAGTAATATACAATAATATAAAATGTAAAAAAATAATATGTGTTTTTAAATTCGTAATAATTATGTGCATTTTTGCTTAATTTTAAATTTCTAACCAAATCATTGCTAAACGTTTTTTATGGTAATTATGAAAAAATTAATCGATCGAACTATTTAATGTGTTTACCAAAATATTTACTAAAAAATTTAAATTTATCATTCAAAATAATTGCCAAAAATTGTTTTTAAATTTTTTCATAATTACCAAAACCACGCGTCCCAGTTCCTTAAATTTCAAAAAAAAAAACAACTCACCTTACGCACGAAAAAAAACACGACACTACGTCTCACAGCACTGTAACACGCGAGGTTAGAGTTCGCTCGCGAACGCGACTCGTGCGCATCGAGAGAGAAAGTGCTTATATAGCCTCTGCAGCGCGCTTAGGGGCGGCCGTCCTGATGACCCTTGAATAACTATTGAAACTGAAAGCTAGGATGAGTCAGTCAAGGTCGGAATTGCAGTCGCAGCGTCTGCCGGCGTCCCTTGGTACCTATACATCGGCCAAGACGATATCAGTATTCAAAGCCTTCCTTAGTTTTGATGCATTAAGAAAAGAGATGTAGCCTATACTGTTAATGATGATTAAGGCCCGACTCGACAAAACTTATATCCGAGAATAACTCCTGGTATAGCTGGCACATTGACAGTTTAAGTATGGGAGACAAAACTGACGATTTATTCTGAGATTAATATTTACTCTTGTTGGGTCAAATCCACCCTAGGTAGAACTAAAATAATTTTATTCAATTTTATCATTTTTAACGTAACGTAACCGTACTGAAAAAACTGAATTGTTGGGCTAAAACTGAAAATAGTGTTGTCAAAGTTGCATTTAAATGAGAATTAGTCCTTCACATAAACTCTGTTAATCTGGGTTTAAACTTGTTTCAATAAATATCACACCTACCTGGGTACTAATAACTTAACTGAATATCAAGCCGAGCTATCACTAACAACATAATTATCAGTAACATAGGTGAATATAATTAGGTACCTACCTACAAGTTTGTTTTTGCGTATAAATAATAATGCCTGTTACATTAATTTTTGCTCCCAGCTGGGTTCAAACCCCTAACCAGCGGGGGTGTCGTAGGCTGGCACGTAAACTTCCTGCAGGACCTTTATTTTGACAGGTATGCACATGCTAGACAGAATGCAGTTTTTCATATTTCATTACAATTAAATAAACTAAAATGCAGTCGTTGTTTGTTTTATAATCTTTTTAGTGCAATAAAAAGGAAGCGGAGAATAAATGATCAGTGTGACGGCACCATTAAATTGCTCTATTACTATAATTAGGTATTTGTATCCTTTTCGGACATTCATTATTATTAAATTATTATACTATTAATAACATATATGCTAATGCTTCTGCCGGCGATTTTGCTTGCTTTTTGGACTTTCAAATATTAGGTACGTGATCACTACATCTCTTACATACCTAGTATAATTATTCAGGTCCCTTAATCGAGAAATGACTGGTCCTTCATGAAAACTGAATCCAAGCCCTACCACCAACTATACCAAGCAGAAAATGTTTCCCTATTGGAAATCAAACCCGGGATCTCTGAAATAGGTCGTCATTAGGCCACAGAAGCGTTCCTTATATCACTGACTAAACCCTGTGACATTATGTTCGTCTCAGCTAATTGACGTCTACTGCTGGACAAAGGCCTCCCAAAGTATTTCTTTAACAACCGGTCCTCCGCTGCTTGCATCGAGGTCCTTCCCGCGACCTTAACCAGATCGTCGGTCTACCTGAGGGGTCTGCCTACACTACGTCTTCCGGCCAGTCGCCACTCGAGAACTTTTCTGCCCCAAAAGTTCACGAGTACCACAATAATTTGTGGCATTAAGTACGGACTTTTATACGATGGATAATGACTCATCAAGCTAAATAGTATTGTAATAATAATGTAGGTACTTAGTCATAGTGATTTTGTCTCCGTACAAAACAGTTTTAAACAAAATTAAACTCAAAAATGAATCTTAAGTATGCGCGAACAAAAAAGAGCTACAATATTTTTATCTTTAAACATGTTTTAATCATTTGTATCCTCGTTATCACGATTACTGTCTCCAGTTGAAATAATGAGTAGTAAATTTTTGCAATACCTCGGGTGTAAAAACATTTTGTTTATGGCAAGCGGATCTCAAACGGCTTAATTAGGGATGGCACAAAAACAATTACGCAATAGAGCTTACAATGTTCTCGTGTTAACGGTGCCTTTGTTGTTTAATGAGATTTAATTGAATTAAGTTGTATTATGACTTTTATGTCATCCACGCGAAGAGTGAAGCAAATGCCTTCCACTGTTGGACAAAGGGCTCTCCTATGGATTTCCATAACGAACGGTCAAGTGTTGCCCGCATCCAAGCGCTTCCCGCTCCCTATCGTAGTTCTATTCTACTCTTCTGAAACTACACCTTTTTATGAGACGGAATTAGACCAAATCATCCATTCATCAGAATGTTGTGGTCGCTATCAAATGAGCTGACGATGATGACTATGACGATGTACAGGTACTGTAAATTTATACAGATTCTACGTAGATGAAAAAGATAGATCAGGAATGATACAGAGCTTGATAGTTTACACGATGAAAAAAAAGCGCAAGTGCGTAGCTGACTTTACTTACACGGCAACAGCAGACGATGTGTCGCCGCGACATACTACATATATTTATTTCTATGACATAATGTATACCTACTTTCAGACGACGTGCTAGCAACGAATGCTATTTCATAGAAATGCATAGAAACCAGTAGTCGGCTACGAAATTGCAACTAAAAATGAATAAATTAATTGTATCTCACGAATTATCATAAACCCAAAACATAACTTTGAACTTATTAAAAAAATCATTTACTTCAGGCAATGCAAATGCAGGTTAACAAAACTTGCAAATTGAACTGCCTCGGCTGGAAATTGAACCCACGACCTTTTCGACCACGAGCGACATGTTACTAGTGTTCTTCTCTCTAATTGAATTGCACCCAATGGGGTTCGAACCCGCTACTGCAGATGGCCTTGAAAATCGGCGTCCAAACCTCCAGTCCAGACGGCAGTCATTGCATACTTATGTATTCATTTATTTTATTTGGCTGATATCAGATGCCATAAAATATTTTTACATTTATTTTGGTACATTCATTTTAAGGCATAAATTACCTAAATATAGAATTCTATATTTACATTATTACATTATTACTTTTTTATGAATAGACTACTACTAAGTAAAGGCGGATTTCGATAACACTTTACGCTCTTAGGCTGAGTTGCACTACCTAACTTTGACCGTAACTATAACTTTATCCGACGTTTTTTGTATGGACTTTGACAGATTTTTGACGTTAGTCAAAATTAAAGTAAGATGGTGCAACCCAGCCTTAAAGTTGACGTCACAATAGCACAGAGTGTAATATATTTTACCAATAACTTTTTCATGAAAAAACTACTGGACGGATTTTGATTTACGCTATTATAGTTCAAGTCACAATAGTACAGCACAGAGGCTATATATTCATCGAAACTACGCAAGCAGATCCGCGGGCAGATTCTAATCATTCACAGAGCCTATTCAATATCCCCAATCCCATCAGTCCATCACCAATAATTGCCTACGGACTGGTAATGTAAATCAGTTGCTATGATTAATAGTCAGCAGTTGACATATTAACTATTGTACGACAGATTTGGGCAACTGAGACAATGGCTGAAACAGTGTCAGCGCGGTCATAGGAAGCGTTGCGCGAGCGCATGTTTTTTGTTTTTAATAAAGATCCCAGCGGGTCGTGATTTGATATGTTACAACACGTTGGGTAATTAGAGGAATCTTTCAAGATCTTTTTGGAATAATAGGCTATGTTGCTGTCTAAAATACTCTAGATTTTATTTGAGTTTGTTGAGCTTATACCGCAGTTATTTTTTTGGGACATCATTATGCTAAACGGTAACTTTAGGTTAGAGTGATGGTAGGTCTTGTTCTAAGTCCTGCCTGGCTACCACCATTTTATACAACAATGTTACAGTATTGGCATTATTGTGTTTTGGCAGTTAGTGGTAAGAAGTTTTCCGATATTCAAACACTTTGAAATGTTATCTCACAAAAAGTAGCAACCCGCTGTATGGATGCACCATTATAAGGAGTATTTTTAAAGTAGTATATTTTTATCATAAATCTTGTATTCTAAATATCGCTGAAGTATATTGGCGCAAGCTATAAGTACTTTATATTCTACTAAAAAAGGGCGTCAATCACCAATTATTAAAATTTCTTAGTATCCGAAAGTGGGAGACCTTGGTCTTTTAAAAATTGATTGATTCAAATGCCATTAATATAAAAAGAAGTGAACTAACAATAACATATTAGGCCTAAAACCACCTAATAAATAAACTTTATCTTTAATCCGTTGGAGATCCAATCGGTATTCATATCTACCGGTTTATTAATAGATGAATGAAATTCAAAACTATCGAGCCTTCACATATTTTAATACTTGTTTTGGTTCCGTGCCGTGTTAATGAAATAATTGATTCTGTTCTAAAACCGTGGTATAACGCACGTAAGTTAAAAAAAAAACTTTACTAGAGGTCAGTTACGGCCTGCTAAACTTCACAACAAATCACCTACTGAAAAATTATATAAATAAAACAGGTCAGCTATCCAGCTGACCTGTTTTATTTATGTCTCAATATTAACTGAACTTTCAGTGATCAAACTTCAGATGGTAAACACCAAAATTTTTTTCAATGTAGTTTTAAGCCAAGTTTAAGCCTGTCGGCCAAAATAGCTGATTTCTGCGCTGGTCAGGTTTATTGATTCTAATTTAAATATTTTAAGTAACAGTTGATAATAATAGTTCTTGGTGAAAATAGGTCATCTATCGATACTTTTTAGTGAGGGACGCAAAATATTCAACAAAACTTAGAAAAAGTATCTTCTAACGCACTGACAAAATAATACCTAACGCAATGAAAAAAAAAAACATTATAATATAATATTAAAAATATTGAAAAACAGACAAAATATCGTATAATTTTGTGCCGGATTACTAATGTTTGGCCAAAAAACGTTTCCCAAATTATCACATCGCAAACAACGTTTCGCAAATTTTCATTTGGCAAATTCTCATTTGGCAAAACCAACTTATTGCAAACTTTTAATTCGCAAATGTCGTTTTTGGCATATTATTAATTAGCAAATTATTGTTTGGCAAAGTATGTTTTCCCAAATGTTTCATTTGGCAAAAATATTTCACGATAAACTATTTACAAAATAATTTGATTGGTGCATAGAATGGAATACAAATTAGCTTGTGGTTA